CCCAGATTTGAGAAGATCTACAGCAACAAGCAGGCTCACTACAGCCACTGAAAAGATGGGAGGATTAAAGTACAAAGAAAAAACTCTCAGGGAGCTGTTCAATGTTTTCACTCCATTTTGCACAGAGGCTTTTTTAATGTATAGATTATAGCAAAGTTAAATATTGTTGCGAATTAAAAAAAACCCAAATATGTTTAAAATAACACAGACAACAAAGAATCCTCTTGTAATCTACAGTATAGAACTATGAAAAAAATACAAACAAAAGTGTTCCACTGTAAAGATGGTGTGTAGTTTGTTTTGTTGCAACCTAAAGTGTGAAATAAACTTCAGTGGAGTTTGAAAACAAAATATGTGTATAGGTTTATTATATCAGGTTGAACGATGTGTGTGCCCAGTTGATTTTATTTTTTTTGGGGGGGGTGGGTGGGTGGAAATTTTATTGTAATCCAAAGGGGGGCCCAGAAGAAAATCTTTGGGAACCACTGGTCTAGATAGTCTGTTATCAATATTTACTTTTTTGTTAGATGAGATTATTTTATTTCTTTATAATTCACAGGCAAAAAATGGTCTGATATTGGGAAAAAGATTGCAAAAATAATTCTTGAAAATCTGGACTTTTCTGTGTTTCATCAGCTTTATAAAAAGTAAGGACAATCATATACTCAACGAGACTGGATCTTACTATGTAACCAAAATGTGGTGCATTATAGTATACGAGGATTGTATTTTCCATCTATCTACATCTTGCAATTTTTTTGTATCTTTAAGTAGAGAATTTAATTGTGACATTTGCTAAATGGTTAGTGCATAGTAAAAACATAAAACAAACAAAACTACACTTGTAGCAGGGCGTTAGTGAAATGTTCAAGGACATTACCAGAGCAGAGTAATCCGAAAAATATTAAGTCACTTGCAGCTACAAAGTAAGAAATCAGGGTAACTACAGCTTAGATAGTGTAAAAGTATTTCTTTCTGGAGCCATGAGGAGTGACTAAAAAGGTTTTAATGTTGTGACTAAATTTTCCAGTGGCACAGGAAAAAAAAGTTTGATTTGCACCAGTTTATTAAATAAGTCACAGGAAGTATCTGAAAAGTTGTTAAATACAAGGACTAAATCACTGCTGGGCCATGGCCGCAACTTTTTAAATAAAATGTATCTAAGCCATTTTCTTTTTACAACATTTATTGATCCTTAAATTGGCAAATTAAGATATATTTTTTTCAAAATAATGTTTTATCTACCCAATTGAATTGTTAATTGGTTTAGAATACTACCGACAGTTGTACTCATTAGTTTGAAAACTAATTTGACATTTCTCAAGATAACATAAACATGCATTAGTGCTCTGATGACATTGTTAATTTAATTGATTATGCTATTTTAATTATTTTCATTATCACCCTTTGCTCTTTTATTTGTACAGAGTTCATGAGTCTTCTTTCATTATCTATTTTAATGTGACTTCACTAGCCTGAAAAGTTGTTTAACTTGAAGCTGAATTCTTTTCTGATATTAAGTTCTTAATATGGACACAAGTGGAACTTCAGATAAAGCTGACCTGCATTTTGGTAGGTTATTGGGTGGATCTTGTGTATAAAATTTAGATTGTTTTGCTAGTCATACTGAATAATATATTTTGTAGACATTTTAAAAATCCATCAATCAAGCATTTTTGCATTAATCCACTCCAACTAGAATGTACTGTGTCATAATGGAGTTTGTTAGTGACCTTGCTAAAAGTGGTATATTGATCACACTCATGGAAAGTTATTGACTCTTTCTGGGTTTAAAAAAAAAGAAATCATTATGGAAATTGATTATGATGCAACAGCTGTGGTCAGTCTGGCATAACTTGACTTAAAATCTCAATCTAAAAAAACAAAAAAAAACAACAGAAAATCCCAATGTGATTAGTCTAAACTTTTACTTCCTTTTTCTACTGTAGTTCAGTGAATTTAACATGATTTTGGACATTTACCATTAAGCTCAGTTTCTCCATATGCAAGTTATGGTAAAATATTTCATTTATGTTGATCTTAAACACGATTAAGAAATATCTGCTTTAATCTATCTAGGATTCAATCTGTTTTCAGAATTTTGACTTACATATAAGAAGGTCCATAAGCTGTGTTTTTTTTAATGGGACTTTATGTTGCCTTTTATTTACTGTACTTGTAAATGCAATACTAGGTATGTCCGAGAGAAAACCCGGACTAATGTTGACATGAGGGTTGGAGTGCACAGTGGAACAGTACTTGGTGGAGTCCTGGGACAGAAGCGTTGGCAGTATGATGTTTGGTCAACAGATGTCACAGTAGCCAACAAAATGGAAGCTGGAGGCATTCCTGGGTAAGTGCAAGTTCTATGATTTGTTTGACACGGTTTTGGCTCTGTTTAAGTTTTCTTTTTTAGTTTTCTGTTTCACTTTGATCCATCCTTTTCTTTGTTTTCTAGTTTTATTAGTTCAGTTATTTTGTGTTTTTTTTTTTTATGTATTGATTTCTAAGGTATTTCTTGTTTGCTTTTTGGTGCCGACTTGTGTTGTTCTATTTTTCCTTAGCTCCTTTCTAGACTCCTCTGTTCACACTTGCTCCCAATCTGCTGATTAGCCTTTCTTAAAATGACGTTATCACTTATCCCGTAATTATCCTGACATCCTACAAAATAATATTATAATAAGCTATGATAAATATCTGGCTCATTTATTTGAAGGAACAGAGTTTATCACATTTTCTAGATTGCATATGCATATGGCATTAACAAAAATACATTTTTGAATATGAACCACTTAAATCTATAATTAGAAATACATTCAAGCAGATTGTGGTTATTTACAAATTCCAAATAATATATAAGAGTTCCTAGTGTTAAACCCCCCAAAACTACTGCCTAAAATATGCAGGACATTGACTAAACTAGATGATACAAGGTTGAAGGGCTTCGTGTCCGGCCACCTATCTCGGTACTGGTCCATGCCATCTTCTGGTGCGGGCTTCATCCGAGGTGAGGGCTTCTGCATTGTTCTTGCTGACTGGCTAACCATTTTTTTCTTTTTTTTTTTGGACAGCCATGAGGTTTGTTGGGGGTGTGGAGGTGTTAGCCCTGGTGAGTGGTTGGCTCACAGGCCCTGCGGCCTGACCCTTAACTGAGACTTTGCCAATATGGTGGTGCGACTGGCAGGGCCCCCCTCTCCGGATGGGTTCTCGGGGAACAGGGGTGCCTATTCGAGTCAGTGGGGGAGCTGGCTCCCTGGGAGTGCAGTAGGCCCCCCCAGTCTTTTTCTTCCCATTCCCAGACTCCTCCCTTTGCCTGCTCCATCACACTGCAACACATGTAGGACCTTGGGAGGGGGTCGTTACTGGAGCATCCCACGTTCTGATGATGTCCCCCCACCCCAGGGTTCCGGGGCTGACATTGCCGGTGCTGACATGTCTGCTCTTCCCAAAAAGTGGTGGGGTGGCTAGGGTATGGAGGGGGAGGAAGTAGACCCGTGAGTTATTTAGGGGTGGGATGTTGGGTGGCTCATGCAGGACATGTTGGCACCTTCCCCGGGGGGCTTGTGCCGGGGGTCGTCTGCTCCTGGTGTGGGATGGGGGGCGGGTCTGAGGCACCCCCCCCCCCATCAAGGTGCTACTTTATTGTAGGGCTGGGTGATAATTCAATAACGATATATATCGATTGATAGACGTGTGGCGCAATAGGAAAAAAGAGGGTCGATAAAAGTTCGATAAAGAAACGCAGTTTTCCTTCCTTCTCATTGTAGCCTA